CTGAACCCAGGAGTTTAAGGATGTAGTGAACTGGGATTGTGCTGCTGCACTCCAGCCTGGGCAACGAGTGATATCCCAACTCAAACAAACAACTAAGCAGAGTGCTTGACCCATAGTAGGCTCTTGGTAAGTGATACACCCACCTGCCTGAGAGTTTGATGTGTATGCAGATGTCCTTAAACTTTTCTTTTTTCTTTTTTTTTGAGTTGGAGTCTCACTCTGTCGCCCAGGCTGGAGTACAGTGGCACACTCCCAGCCACCGCAGCCTTAACCTGCTGGACTCCGGCAATCCTTCTGCCTCAGCCTTCCAAGTAGCCAGAACTACAGGCGCGCACTATCACGCCCAGCTAATTTTTGATTTAATATAGAGATGAGGTCTTGCCAAATTGCCCGGGTGGGTGTTGAACCCGCGGGCTCAGGCTTAAACTTTTTTAAAAACTGCTTCATATCCCATTGTTAGGATGTTCTATGATTTACTTAAGAATTCCCTTATTGTAAGGTATTTAGGTTGCCTCCAGATGGAGGCTTTTTTCCTTGGCCAATTATCATAGTGATAATTTTCATAATTAAGAACTTCCTAAATCACTAGGAGCTGAAACAAATTAGGTTTTTGAACTGCAGCTTAGTGATGGCTGAGGCTGGTGCAGAGAATGGGCACACTGACACACAACTGTATTGTGCATAATTGCTGGGTTCAAGTGGGATGCAGTAGGCGTTTCTGGACAGTGACTCAGCGTGCCCATGCCGTTGGGCAGGAAGGTTCTCCCCTCCTTTGTCCTCCTGTGTTTCACACCCTGTTTCAAATCCCCTAGGATATTGGGCATCTGAAGAGCTGCAGTCCCAGCTCTGCCCTCAGGGAGTTCCTCCAGTGGGGAGAGGGACGCTGAAATCAGTAAGTGCAAGTTGTATTTGTGGCCCACATGGCAAAGATGCACAGGAGGGTTGAATCAGCCTTCTCTGGTGAGAGTGTGGGTCAGAGGGCCCAGGAGAGGGCCTGCTGTCAGTGGGCCTGGAAGGATGGGTATGTTTGCTTTGGGGCTTATATGGAGAGAGTTCAATGGCTGGGAGGTAAGAAATAGCTCAGAATGTTCTGGAACTTGCTCGAATTGGATGTGACTGCACATAAGGCACCAAACATGGAAGGCTTGGTATGAGTGGGGACAGTAACTGGTCATGGAGGGGCTTGTGTACCATGTCATGCTCCTCTGGGGTCTCCAGTGCCCCGACAGGGCCAGAGCATGGTGAGCCCTCTATCTGTGGAGGTCGCATGCCTTTATGGAACGCTTTAGCTGAAGTTCTTGACCATGTTTCTCAGGCTGTGTCGCAGAGTTCTGTGAGTCAGTCCATCCGGGGCTGTGTGGACATGCTGGGACGTACTCTGTGTGCTGATGGTAGGGGAGGCCCTGGCTGTCGGAGAGAAGGGTGGCACCTCAAGAATAACTGGCTCAGAAACCAGTCCTCTGATTTGCACCACAGTGCAGTTACAGAAACTTCTCATTGCAGACACTGAGATAAGCCTGCCTGCCAGCCCTGGGGCACCCCAGGTCTGGTCCTTCGGGGCGGGATGTGAGCTGTTGCTGGAGGAACTGGCAGCTCAGTGGCAGGCCTGACACCCACAGGTGTTTGGAGTGGCCACAGGCCTGACTCACATGTCCTCAGGCTGCGTCCTCAGCACTGTCCTTGCCCCTGGCCCTCACCCAGACTTAAGGGGTGGGACTGTGCTGGGGAGAAGGGGGCGGGGAAGGAAGGGAGGGCAAGGTTTGTTGGCGCTCTTGGGGCACTTTGTCCATTCCCGTCCGTCTTAATCCCCATAAAGGCACTTAGGGTAGACGCTGATGTCTTCGTTTTCCCAAAGAAAGCAAGCTTGGAGAGCTTAGGTGCTTTTATCAGGATGATACAGTGAGTGCACGGCAGGGTGATGCCAGAGCCCACACCCCTTCCTTTCAAGAAACTGTTCCTCCAAATCTGTCTCCTGTCCAGCAGTATAGGGGTGGTCTGGCCCTTGTCATCGCAGCCTTGACGGTGTCTTGTGGTCTGAGGGACAGCAGCAGAAGCCCCGAGCCCCACTTTATCACTAGCTTGCATGATGGTGGGCAAGTCACGGCAATTCCTTGAGCCTCAGCTTCCACATCTGCAAATCTAGGGGTAAAATATGGCATGTGTACTTAACGGGCTTGTCGTGCGAATCAGCAGACTGAGTGGGGATGCCGTTAGGCCAGGTCCTGCACTGGCATTGTGTAGCAGCTGAGGGTGTGTCGTGCTTGGGACATGGGTCCTTCCCTCTCTCCCTTTCTCCCTCCCCTTTTGGTAAGTGGAGCCCAAGGTAGAGTTCAGGCTGAGCCTGCTTCCTTTTTTTGGAAACTGGAGTCTCACTCTTGCCCAGGAAGGCTTGAGTGCAGTGGCATGCTCATAGTCACTGCAGCCTCGGCCTGCTGGGCTCAAGCGATCCTTCTGCTTCGGCCTTTCAAATAGCTGGGACTACAGGTGTGCGCCACAGTTTTTTGATGTATTGTAGAGACGAGATCTCGCCAAGTTGCCCAGGCTGGTCTCAAACCCCTGGGCTCAGGCAATCCTTTTGCCTCGGCCTCCCAAAGTGCTGGGATGACAGGCTTGAGCCACCGTGCCTGGCCTGAGCCTCCTTCTAAAATGGGCCTCAGAGCCATAGTGATCTGGGTTTGGTCGCTGTGCTGCCACTTAGTAGTATATGGGTGACCTCGAATAAGTCCCTTGGTCTCTTTGTGCCTTGGTTTCCTGTCCATAATGTAGAAGTGTCACCTTGTCAATGTGATAGGCTTAACAGAGATGAGTACATTTGCGTTTGTCGCCAAATTTTGGACCCTGGGGTCGCACTGTAAGAGTTGGTACACTGAAGGACTGCCCTGATGTGGTGGATTTGCAGACCTCTTCTCATTCAGACAGCTGCGCAGAGTAGAATTGTGCACATTCACTCAGCTGTCTTCAGAAGTGGCTGCATAACTCACTCACCACATGGCACTTCCTCTGCTGGCTTCTGGCAGATCAGCTGTGAATGAGGCAGGCTCAAGGAGTTGCTGCCATCTGGTGGGGCGAAGGACGTGGACCATCAGCATACTCGCACGTGTACATGGCCGTTGCACTGTGGGGTGGTCGGTGTTGTAAAGAGAGCAGAGAGCTGTGAGCAGGGGCGGTGGGTGGCCGGAAAGAGCCTTCCTGAATGACACGGGCAGAGTCTGAAGGATGTGGAGCATCCACAAGGGAAGAGGGTGGGCTGGAGCGATTGGGAAAAGGGTGTCTCAGGAGGTAGGGGGAGCTCTGGATGTGGGAATGAGCTCTTTGGACCTGGTGCCTGGTCAGCAAGGCTCACACTCAGAGTGGATGCAGAGAGGCCTGGTGAGGCTGGAGAGGGCATTTCAGTGCTTGTCTAGGACTTCCTGGGTGGTCAGTGATGTGCCAGGGCACCCTGGAGACATGGGGGAGCCAGGACTTATGCTTCAAGTCCCAGCTCTGCTCTGCCCCCTGGGTGTCCCTAGCTTCCTGAGACAGTTTTTTCTCATCTGTAGCACAGTGGGTGTTAATGCTGTGCATCTCACAAACAAACCTGCTTTGGAAACTGTGGAGTCCTTACACGGGTATGAGGGGCCAACGTGGCCTTACACCACCAGGATTCGGGATGACTGAAAGATACATACAGCATTAAAGGATAAAAACCTAAGTAGCTGGGTCAGAGGGAAACACTGGTAACAAAGTGGAAGCTGGGTTAATGATTAGCACCCAAACTTTGCGGCATCTTTCTGAACATTTGCAGAGGTGGGTAGGCTGCAGGATTCACTTTAAATTCTTCCTGGCTGCCAGAGCCAAGAGGCAGGATCGGGTACTTGATTCATGATGCCCTTCGGGGATTAGGAGGGAAAAAGAAACTGTGGGGTTTTTTTCCCTGCACTGAAGCTGTCTCTGGCAGGGCTACTGATGAGCATCAGTAACTGCTCGCATCTGTCCTATTTGCAAGTCTGTCGGAGGCACTGGGCAATGACCCCGAGACGCCAGGCCAGAGTGGTCTGAAGCCATTCAGGAAATCAGGAGGAGTCCTGGGGAAGATGGCCATGGCCCCAGGCCCTTCACTGGCACAGGTGTATGCTAGCCCTGTGGTTGTGGCCATGTGGGAATGGCAGGATGGGCTGGGCACCTGGCACCCCTACAGCGCTGCTGTCTGCAGCTACATCGAGCAGCAGTTTGTCCAGCAGAAGGCCAGTGCTTCGGGCTCGGGAGTCTGGCCCACAGCATCCCCCTGGGCCAGGCTGACCCCTCGCTGGCCCCGTATATCATCGACCTCCCCAGCTGGACCCAGTTCCGCCAGGACACTGGTAAGACACTTTCTGCCTCTAGTATACATCTGAGCATCTGCATTGGGCCAGGTGTGGTGCTGGGTCTTGGGGTGATGGACAGGACTTGCCCTGAGATGCCCATGATTGGGAAGTGGGTGCTGTGAGAACAGCGCCACACTGCGTGACTGCACCTCGTGGTGGTGGGAGAGGAGCCGTGGGAGCACATCGCAGAGGCCTCCTTCCCCCTTGCCTCCTAAACCAAACATGCCTGCCTCAACCAGCAGAGATTGCTGGGTCTCAGGCACGCCTGCCCGCACGGAGGTCACATGCCACAGTGGTTCAGAGGGCCCAGCCTGGCTCTGCTGTGCAACAGCTCTGCACCCTAGACAGGTACCTACACGCCTCTGTGCATTTGTGTGTTTTTTGTTCTACAGTGTGTTCTGATCAGAATGGGGCCACCCACTTCCTCTTGGAGCTGTTCTTCCCTCTAATTCAGTAGTTCTCAGTTGGGGTGGTTTTGTCCCCAGGATCTTTTTTTTTTTTTTTGAGTTGGAGTCTCTCTCTGACGCCCAGACTGGACCTGCTGGGCTCCGGCAATCCTTCCTCCTCAGTCTTCCAAGTAGCCGGAATTACAGGTATGTGCTACCACGCCCGGCTGATTTTTTGATTTA